AAAAAAAAAAAAAGGAATTGGGCTGAAAATATACCTCAGTAGAGCATTTCCCTGGCATGCACAAAGCCCTGGGTTCAATTCCTAGCACTGCAAACAATCTAAAAACATTCCTTACCTGCAACTTTTGATACATCTCTATGTTAATGGCTTTCACTTCTTCTAGTTGCTGCCGAAGGCCTATCAGGGTGTCTTGTTTCTCGTGGATATCTTTCTCCAACAACTTCATGGCAAGTTCAATCTCATGTTTCATACTCACTTGGACGGAAAGCTCATTCTCCACATCCTGCAATTCAAAATATCTTCAATTCATATGCCACTTAGGGATGTCAAAATGAAATTCATGAAATAAAAGGTTCTCTACCTAACCACTCCTTTTAAATTCACTAAAGAAGAAATCAATCTGGCAGGGAATGTGGCATAGTGATAGAGTGCTTGCCTAGCATGCATGAAGCTCTGGGTTCGAAGCTGGAAGTGGCACTGTGGCTCAAGTGGTAGAGTGCTAGCCTTGAGAAAAAGCAGCTAAGGGACAGTGCCCAGGTCCTGAGTTCAAGCCCCAGGATTGTCCCCCCCCCCAAAAAAAAGACGAAGGAGGAGGAGGAAGAGGTAGGAAGAGAAGGAGAAGAAGAAGGGGAAGAACGAGAAGAATCAATCTATTCTGCTCATGGTGGTACATAACTATAATTCCAGAACCTGTGAGGATGTAGCAAGAGGATAACAAGTTCAAGACCAGACTGGGTTACATTGGGAGGCCTTGTTTAAAACAAAAACAAAAACAAGTCATCCAGGCCCTATAACAATTAAATAATTTTTTTTCTTGGATACTGAGCTTTGAACTCAAAACTCTATGCCTGGTATGAAGACATTGTATCCTTGAGTCACACCTCTAGCAAAAATGAGAGTATCTTCCATATTCTGTTAATTAACACTATTCTAACAGCTCAAGAATTAAATATTTTTATGTTTTAAATATTCAATATTACTTTGTTTTAATAAAAGCAAATGAAGTATGCATAAGATCAAAGATAACTCAAAATAGTTTATTAGTGCTGAGCCTGGGGCTTGAACTCAGCGTCTAGTATCTAGGCTTTATGCTCAATGCTAGCATTCTACCAATTGAGCCACAGCTCCACTTCTTCTTCACTTCAAGATTTTTTGGTTGTTAGTTGGAAATAAGAATCTCATGGACTTCCTTCACAGATTGGCTTTGAACCTTGATCCTCAGATCTTAGCCTCCTGAGTAGCTAGGACTACAGACATGAGCTACTGGTACCTGGCAGTTTTCTTTTCTTTACAAGAAAGTTACCAGCTGGACCTCCATGGCTCATGCTTGTAATCCTAGCTACTCAGGAAGCTGAGATTTGAGGTTCGTGATTTGAAGCCAACCCATGCAAGAAAGTCTGTGAGACTCTTACCTCCAATTAACCACCAAAAAAGCTGGAAATGATGCTGTGGTTCAAAATGGTAGAGGTTTAGGAACAGTGCGTGGGCCCTAACTTCAAGCCTCACGACTAAAAAGAAAGAAAGAGAGAGAGAGAAGGAAAGAAGGAAGGAAGGAATGAAGGAAGTAAGGAAGGAGGGAGAGAGAGAGAGAAAGAAAGAAAGAAAGAGAAAGAAAGAAAGAAAGAAAGGAAAGAAAGAAAGAAAGAAAGAAAGAAAGGAAAGAAAGAAAGAAAGAAAGAAAGAAAGAAAGAAAGAAAGAAAGAAAGAAAGGAAAGAAAAAGAAAATTATGAGAGCTGGTATGGGTGGCACATACTGTAATCACAGGTAGTAAGGAGGTGGAGGGAAAGAATCACAAGTTTGAGGCCAGCCATCCCAGGAAGTTTTAATGAGAATCTATCTCAAAGACAAAAATGAACAAAAGGGCTGGGGGCATGGCTCAAATTGTAGAGAACCTGCCAGGCATGCATGAGGTCCTGAGTTCTGTCTCCACTAACATAAACACACACATTCAGTTAAGGGATAGGGAAGAAATTTAGTGATAAACTGCTTGCCTGGCATGGATGAGGTCCTTGATTTGACCCCTAATACAGAAGAAAAAAAAACCCTCAAATTAAGCAAGTTTCTTAGCTGGGCACGAATGGTTCATGTCTATAATACTAGCTACTCAGGAAGCTGAGATTTTAGGATTTTGGTTTAAAAACAGCCAGGGCAGGAAAGTCTGTGAGACTCTTATTGCCAATAAAGTACCAAAAAGCCCAAATGGAGCTGTGACTCAAGTGGTAGAATACTAACCTTGGGCAAAAAAGTTCAGGGACGGGCTGGGAAGGTGGCTCAGTGGTAGAGCGCTTGCCTTGCATGCATGAGGCCCTGGGTTGGATTCCTCAGCACCACATAAGCAGAAAAAAGCTGGAAGTGGCGCTCTGGCTCAAGTGGTAAAGTGCTAGCCTTGAGCTGAAGAGCTAAGGGACAGCACCCAGGCCCAGAATTCAGGCCCACGACCGGACCCAAAAAATAAAAAAGTTCAGGGACAACACCCAAGCTCTGTATTCAAGCCTTAGGACTGGAAGAGAGAAGAGAAGAAGGAGGAAAGAGGTGAGAGAAAGAGAGAAGGGAGGGGAGGGGAAGGGAAAGAAGGGGAGAGAAAGGGAAAGGGAAGAAGGGAAGAGAGAGGAGAGAGAAAAGTTTCCTTACAATAAAGAGAAAGAGGAAAAGGCTGGCAATATTCTCTTCTTGACTTGGATAGTATAGTCAGAAGTATCTGCCATTATTTTCATTATATGGTTCTCACGCATTTCCTGCATATATGTAATATGAAAGATTAAAAAAAGTTATTTGAAAATAATTTGCATTATTCTCTTCCACTGCATTTTTGTTTTTTGTTTTTTTCTTGGGTCCAGTCATGGGCCTGAACTCTGGGCCTGGGCGCTGTCCCTCAGCTCTTCAGCTCAAGGCTAGCGCTCTACCACTTGAGCCGTAGTGCCACATCCGGCTTTTGTTTTCTGGTTATGTGGTGCTGAGGAATCGAACCCAGGGCCTCATGCATGCAAGGCAAGCGCTCTACCACTGAGCCACCTTCCCAGCCCCGCCACTGCATTTTTGTAATGCTGCTCACATTCCATTCATTTTAGCCACAGATTTTTTTTTTTTTTGCCAGTCCCGGGGCTTGAACTCAGGGCCTAGGCACTGTCACTCAGCTTCTTTTGCTCAAGGCTAGCACTCTACTACTTGAGCCACAGTGCCACTTCCAGCCTTTTCTGTTTATTTGGTCCTAAGGAATCCAACCCAGAGCTTCATGCATGCTAGCCAAGCACTCTACCATGAAGCCACATCCCAGCCCTAGCCATAGATTTCAACTCACAGTTTCAAAAACACTACTAGGGTGGGAGCTTAAAGAATGCAAAAGCATATGGTGTGTGCCTACAGTGCAGCAAAGCAGTGGCTGGGAGTGATGGGAGTAGAGCGTGCTTGAGGACTGTGATCTTGGCACTGTGAGGGAAGCTACCTGCCGGAGCTGTGACTCATCTCGAAGCTGCCTTCTGGCATCATTGTACATTTCATCCAGACCCTGCCGAGAATGTTTGTAGGTTTGAAGCTCAGTTTCCACATCCACTTTGGTCACCTGGTAAGAAAACACCGAAGGTTTCTGTAACCTAGCTCCTATGAGCTAGCACTTAGGCTTCACCAGAAGAATATCTGGCCACAGGCAGTCTTACCTCCATATGCTGCTGTGTTTTCATTAAAATCAATTTATTCTCACTTCGCAGTTGGTGGTTTTCTTCTTGTAGTTTAATGATATTATTCTTTGCTATTGCTAACTGAAAATTATGAATCAGAAACAAAAATATTTGAACATATTTACAGGTAATATTGATGGCTATAAAAAGAAAAAATGTCTCACATTTGCAGTTTCATAACAAAAATTGCTGCATAATCTACAGATACCAATTTTTAAAATTATACTTACCTCATTTTGTACTATTCCTCATTTCTTTTACAGCTGAAACTCATTATGCTTATTTATTATGTGTATTATAAACAGAATGCTTACTGTTAGATTTGCAATATGTCCCAAACACATTGTAGGAGTAAGCGTATAAACAATTATGTGTCGAACAAGAAGACTGTTAAGACATGTATAAATAGACAAATGTGTGTAGGGAGAGCAGGTTGAGACAACACTGAGACTATAACAGCTATTCATGGAAAGTAAATGGAACACCGCATAGAAGTAACAACAGGACATGGACAGGAAATCACTGGCAGCTGTCACCATCCATTCAACTAGCTGAAAAGCAGCCTAGGAAAGCAAAGTAGGGGCCAGTTTCTAAAGGCAACTTGCAACAAATGCATTTGTGCATGCATTATCAAGGATCTAATTTGAACTTCTTTGGCAGACTAGAGTCAGGCAAAGGCAAACCCATTAGTAGTGCCACCATCAATGTGCAGAAATGTTCTTGATTGCTGCCATACAAACTATCATTCCTGGTTTGGAAAAACACCAGACCACTTGGGAATGGAAAAGTAAGAATTTTAGGGCTCAGAACGTGGCTTAGTGGTAGAGGGCTTGCCTAGCATGCATGAAGCCCTGAGTTCAATTCCTCAGTACCACATAAAAAGAAAGTAGCTGGAAGTAGTGCTGTCTCAAGTGGTAGAGTGCTAGTCTCTAGCCAAAAGAAGCTGAGGCACAGGGCCCAGGAATTCAAGTCCCAGGACTAGGGAGAAAAAATATTTTTATTCAACATGGAATTAGTTGAATTGAATTAATTGAATTAATAAAAAGCTGCTTCTAGTCAGGCACTGATGACTCATGCATAAATCCTAGCTACTCAGGAGGCTGAGATCTGAGGATCGGTTCAAAGCCAGCCTGGGTAGGAAGGTCTGTGAGACTATCTCCAGTTAACCACCAGAAAACCAGAAGTGGCACTATGGCTTGTGGTATAGCACTCACCTTGAGCTGAAGAGCTCAGGGACAGTGCCCAGGCACAGAGTTCAAGCTCCATGACTGAAGAAAAAAAAAAAAAAAAAAAGCTGCTTCTAATGGTCTGAATAAAAATTAAAATAGGAAGCACTAATCCCTTGGATATATTTTTCTTAGAGAAACTTTTCTAAAAAAGCAACTCTACAAGTAATATTCAATAGAGTTGAGTTTTGTTTTTTTAAAGATAAAGTAGTTACTCTACAAATGAGCTTTGGAATGGCTAGAGGCCAAGTTCACAGCAGTTTTACAGAGGGTGGAGGAGACGTGCAGAGACACTTGTGACAAGCAGAGCAACAGGGACAAGGTCACTTCAGGATTTCTAACTAAAGGTCATTCTACTAGCTAGCTATAGGTCACTGGGCTCTCTCTTTTCCTTTCTTTCTTTCCTTCCTTCTTTTCTTTTCCTTCCTTCCTTTCTTCTTTCCTTCCTTCCTTCCCTTATTTATTTTTTGCTAGTTCTTGGGCTTGAACTCAGGGCCTGAGTACTGTCCACGAACTTCTTTTGCTCAAGGCTAGCACTGTGCCACTTGAGCCACAGCACCACTTCCAGCCTATTTGTTTATATGGTGTGGAGGAAGAAAACTCAGGGCTCCATGTGTGCTGGCAAGCACTCTACCACTAAGCCACATTCCCAGCCACATTGTATTTTTTGACGGCTGTGGGGCTTGAATTCAGGGCCTTGGCACTCTCCCTGAGCCTCTGTGCTCAAGGCTAGCTCACTATGAGCCACAGCCCCAGTTCTGGTTTTTGAGTGTTGGAAATAAGTCTCACAAGTACTTTTTCTGCCCAGGCTGGCTTTGAATTGTGATTCTCAGAGCTCAGCTTTTTGAGTAGCTGGGATTACAGGCAAGAGCCACCAGTGCCCAGATCTTTTTTTTTTTTTTTTAATGTCTGTTCTGGTACTTGAATTCAAGGCCTGGGTGCTCTAGGATAGTGCTCTACCACTTTGAGCCACAGCTCCTTTTCAGGCTCTTTGGTAGTTCATTAGAGATGAGAGCCTCACAGACATTCCTGCCCCGGCTGGCTTTGAACCCTGACCCTCATATCTCAGCCTCCTGAGCAGCTAGGATTACAGACATGAGTGGCTGGTACCTGGCTCATCCTGCTTTCAAATGAGAGTTATACCGTATCAACACAACAGTTTGGGTAAGCCACAACTTATTTCCAGAAGTTGGGAATCACTGATAATGCTACCTCACAAATACAAATAACACAATTTGCCTAAGAATATGAGATCTGTCTAGAATTTATCATCACCAATTACCACTGCAAGCATTCTATCGCAATGAAAGTGTATGTTTGCACACATACACTTACGTACACACATAGCTTCATACTTAAAATGGAAAAGGAACACAAGCAACTGATCCGTGAAAGACAATTATCCACTACTAGGTGACAATACCTCTTCAATCAGCTTAGTATTTGACTTTTCCAATGAATCAACTCTGGAATGGAGGGTGCTGACTGTACTGCTGAAATTAGCAAAGAAAAAAATCCATTCAAAATCAGGTAAACTCACAAAGGCAGAAAAGAGTACATTATGTGGACTCATTATGTTATCATGCATCAACTACCTTGAATGAATTTCTGAATGTGGGTGACTTCATTAACTTGATTTGGCTAGGATCACAATGAAGACTGCAGCAAAAGAACAACTTTTCTACTAATTCTCCACTTGGTACTGCTTACTCTTTAAACTGGGGATCAAACCTTAATATGCTCCAAGTACTCTGTCCCTGAGCTATATTCCCAGGCCTTTGGTTTTCTGAGACACAGTCTCACTATGTAAGTCACGCTGATCTGGAATTCATGATCCTCCCATCTCTGCTGGGATTACAGGCATACACCACCAAGCCTGGCTCTCATTATTTTTTTTATTACCTTCGCAGGGTCTTTTTCTTTTTTCTACTTCTTGATTTTCTTTTTGGAGCTACTTACAACTGAATTCAGGACCTTGCATATACTAGAAAAGTATACGGCCACTCAATTTGTACTCCTTACTTCTTAAGGTCCATCCTTCTTACAATTAACTGATAATATCTGGGAATGGAAATTACATACAAAGCTTACTGAACATTGCTAAATTTTACAGAAAACACTGAGAATATAAGAGAGCCAGGGCTCTGTCCCTGAGCTCTCTGGCTCAAGGCTGTGCCGCTTCCTGTTTTCTGATAGTACTATTGGAGATAAGAGTCTCACCAGCCAGCAGGTGGCTCACACCTGTAATCCTAGATACTGAGGAGGCTGAGATCTGAGGATTGCAGTTCAAAGCCAGCCAGAGCAGCAAAGTCCATGAGACTCCTATCTCCAATAAACCACCAGAAAACCGGAAGTGGAGCTGTAGGCTCAAGTGGTAGAGTGCTAGCCTTGAGCTGAAGAGCTGAGGGACAGCGCCCAGGCCCAGAGTTCAGGCCCCACGACTGGACCAAAAAAAAGAAACAACAAAAACAAAAAAGGACTAGGATATAGCCAGTGGCAGTGTGCATGCTAAGTGTTGAAAAAGCCCTGAGATCCATCCTTATACCCTCCAACACTGTCCCAAAAGTATAGCCCTAGGCTTAATCACACTGCAAAGAAAGAAAAGAAGGAAGAGAGAAATGAAAGGGGGAAGACTAGGTGCCAATGACCACCCCTGTAATCCTAGCTACTCAGGAGGCTGAAACTGAGGATCATGTTTCAAAGCCAGCCTGGGCATCAGAACCAGTGAGTCTCTTTTATTTATTTGTCAGTCGTGGGGCTTGAACTCTGAGCCTGGGCGCTG